TTTACTTTTCTAACATTTATTGAAAGAAGGAAACAAACAATATAACGTTAGGCGCTGATCAGCAACTCAGATTTTTTATCATAACATTTATAATGAAAATAAATTGATTAATAAATCTGATGCAGAGATTAAAACAAAATTTAATTTGTCTTACTGCAACAACGATTGCAATGTCCAGCAAGAGCGAGAAGGATGAAGATAACTGAAAATTAAGAGAAAAAAATAGAAAACTTTTTTTTTTTTTTTTTTTACATATTTCTTATAGACTTTTTTTTTTTTTAGAAACAAAAAAATACATTCTGAAAATTAAGAAAAAAAATGACTTTTAAAAAAATGTAATAAAGGAAGATGGAGGAAATGAAAGGAGAAAAGAAAATACAATTTGAAATTAAATGAAAATGAATGAATATTATTGGAAAGGAAATATACAAGGAAATTAAAAGAAGGGAAAGAGACGGAAAAAGAAGAGAGAAAGAGAGAGAGAGAAAGTGATGAGAGAGAGAGAGAGAGAAGAAGAGAGAACGAGGGAGAGGAAGAGAGAAAGAGAGGGAGAAGGAGAGAGAGAGAAGAGAAAGGATTGAGAGAGAGGAGAGAGAGAGGAGAGACGAGGGGAGAGGAAAGAAAGAAAAGAGAGAGGGAGAGAAGAGAGAGAGAGAGAGAGAGAGAGAGAGAGAGAGAGAGAGAGAGAGAGAGAGAGAGAGAAGAGAGAGAGAGAGAGAGAGAGAGAAGAGAGAAGAGAGAGAGTGAGAAGAGAGAAAAGAGAGAGAGAAGAGAGAGGAAGAGCAAAGAACAAAGAGAAAGAGCAAAGAGAAAAGAGAAAGAAAGAGAGAAAAAAAGAGCAAAAAAAAAAAGAAGAGAGAGAGAAGCAACTCACCCCCGCCGTCAGAGCAGCCACGCCCACGGAGAAGGCGGCATGGGTCTCGAAGGTGCAGTCGTTGTAGCGGCAACTGCTCTGCGAGGCCACGAAGCCGGCGAGCGACACGGCGAGCAGAAGGAGCCCCAAGACGAACAGCTTCACGACCACTTGCTTCGTGCAGTAGCGGTCGTCGCGGTAGTGCCTCTGCGGGGATGAGGTCGTGGTGTTTGTGTGTGTACGTAAGCACATGTACATACATAGACACACGCTCGCACGCACGTACCACACACACACATGCAAGCATGCACGCACACTCACATACACTAATATATATATATATATATATATATATATATATATATATATTATATATATATATATATTATTATATATATATATAGTGGTTAATGATGTGTGTGTGTCTTGTGTGTGTGTGTGTGTGTATAATATATAGTATATATATATATATATATATATATATATATATACGCAAACACACACACATACATATTTATATACATATATACATAGAGGTTGGTGTGTGTTGGTTATCCATTGGAATTTGGACGAATTAAAGAAGAAGAAGAAAAAAATAAATGAAAAAACTTTCTTTCATTTTGCTTCAAGTAATCTTATATCAATAATCCCAAAACAGACATAATAAAACACAAAAGTGAGATGAGATCGAGACACTACCCCCCCCCCCTCCCGTATTATCTGTTATTTCCATGGACGAATAAGCGATCGGTCCCTGCCTGCGAATTATCATATTTCCCCCCCCCCCCTTTCTGCATTTAATTTTGATATTTGATTCCATTGCTAGATTCCTTGAGAACTGTCATAATTATTTGCTGTGTCAGTGGGCCGAGAGTGATGGTTAATAAAGTGGCCGTTAACAGAGAGAGAGAGAGAGAGAGAGAAGCAAGAGAGAGACAGAGATTCAGAGATTCTCCCATTTAATTTTGAAGCAATTTAGGCAATCTATGTGCAGGTATTTCTAATGATTATTATAATTTATTCAATTAGCACTGACAACAATTTTTTCTACATTAATGTGCCTTCGCAATAAAAATAGGGTTGGTAACTCTGTCTTGTCCTCTGTAGGGTTAAATCATCTTTTTAACTAAAAGCACTAAGAGACCCCATGCATAGGCCTACTCAGGGAGGCAGGGGAATGGGGTCACCTATTTCAAAAAGTGACGTCTGTTCCCTTATTTCGAAATGCTAATGAATTTTAAAAAAACTTCTTGAACGCGGTTCGTTTCTGGGTCGAAACCGTAGTATCTAAGTTGGGCTAAAACACACACGCCTCTGACAAAGAAATAATAACAATCTGTTGATAACTTTTGGAGTTGTCATTTTAAACGACTTTCCAACGGACAAACTAACCGACGTTATCGAAAGCATAAAGCGCACTTTTGGCGGGAAGATATTTCATGATTTCTTGAAAAATCTTTAAAACGTCTTGTTCATTCATGTTTTTATTGACGGAACTTGGCTAACTTGATCTAGTTAAATAACCGAACCGAGCATTTTCAAACTACCTCCAGAGGAAACTTGCCAGTCTCATGACGTCACACTCATGACGTCACACTTGTAAACAAACCGCCAACATGGCCGACAGAAATGAGTGAAATTCTCTTA